CCCCAAAACCCCAAAACCCCAAAACCCCAAAACCCCAAAACCCCGTTACAAGGGAAGTAGGTTGGAATCTGACAATTTCTGATTACTTGTAATACAAATCGAAGCCCTTCTTAATTGAACATTTGAACCTTTTGTGGGTAGTGTTCAGCATTATCTCAGTCCCAATTCTTTTGTTTCTGAACTCTTCACAGTATTCTAAGATCTCTCGGCAGAGGAGAGCTTGGTCATCAGAATCTTTAACTTCTTCTTCGTTATTAAATGCATTGGCTTCTTTGATCTTCTGTTCGGTGAGAAGTCTGACAGTCTTGATAACATAATTATTTCTCAATGAATAAAGAATCTGTTTTACATGGCGAAGATGCTCCAGATTGAGTTCAATATCTCTGATAGCAAGATTGGCTTCTCACAACTCTCAGAACTTTTTGACTACTTCATCTTCGTAAATGATGCCTTCAGATCTGAATTCTTGAAGGTTAGTAGTCTGTAGTTTATCTAGTAGAACACAAAATTGTCTCCCACTGCAATCCTTTTTAAATTCTAAATCAATGAGATTTATCTTTACCTTTATATAATTGTTTATCTGTAAGCTCATATTTGACAACACCTATGCTTCGATCTGGCTTTGGACTGATTACATATCGACGAAAATATGTATTAATAAAAATAGAAACTAGGCCATTATTGGGCAAGCTTTCTATTGCTTTAATACAATGAGAGTAATCAATTTTTCACATCCTAGTAATTTCTTCATTTGAATCACCCCAATTTTTGTTCTTTTTATCAGAAGGTTCAATCCAGAGATTAAAGAAATATTTTGGCCTCACAGAACTCAAAATATTGTTGAATGTCACAAAGGGAAAGAGCATTGCGCCATTTGGCCTCAAAGTAGGAGTATCTATGATATATCGAGCTCCAATTAAAGTTTTCAGTGGGACTGAAGGAATCATTGCCTGTGGTAAGATAATTGGGGAGCTTCACTTGATCCTCAACGTAAGATCTGACTGGATCTAAATATTAAAGTTTTAAATAAACTTTATAGTATCCGTACCTTATTCAGATTTGGAATTTTATCTCAGACTTCAATTTTCTTGATCTTTGTGAAACTTAAATGATAGATCGAATTGGGGTGACGAAATTTTATGAGGATATGAGAGTCGACTCTAATGCCTTCCTTTGATTCTTCTTCAACATCAACCAATTCAGACTCTTTCACATAGGATGCCTTTTCTCTATCAATTTTAAGAGTGACATCTGAAAGAAGGAACACATGGATATTTGCATTGCTTGGATCAATGTATATCAGCTCAGCTTTGTCTAACTTCACATCAATGATGACATCATAATCATCAAATTCAGAGGTAAACTCAAAGTATGTAATTTTTGATAAATTCGGACACGAATTTTCTGAATCAACGAATACTTCAGAAACGAGATTTGTAAATATCGGAGGATATCATCAAATTAGCTTATCAACGTTGGGAAGAGAAGTGAGCAGTTTGTCTAGTCATTTGATAGTCATTGGGTCTGTAAATAATGTCTAAAAGAACACTTTTAATATATTAAAATCTTAAAAAATATTGTCAGCACTCTCTGAATTAAGAATATCTAAATACTTTAAACTTTACTATATAATAGAGCTTCGAGAATAAGTAGTGAATTAAATGTTCTCCTAATTCTTTGTCGTATAGTCATAAAAATATTAATTTCCTCTGAATTATCTTTAAAATTGGTGAATCTAAATTAACTGATTAATTTAAACTAAACTTATCAAAACTTTGTGATAAAGCGGACGATCATTAAATTTACTGTAGGTTTTATTATTGACGAAATCGTGTCAAGCTCTAGTGTTCTTCACTCTTCCTGACAGTTTTCAAACTCTATATCTTCGGCTATAACTCAAGAATAGTATTCAGTGCTCTGAAATCGATTCAGATAGTCTTTCCGTCTTTGTAAAGTATCTTCATGATATTGCCTACATTCTTTGTCTTCGGAATTTTATTGATAGAGGCATCCAACCATGAAGAAGGGTCCTCAAATCAAGACTTTGGATACATGATTCTACAATAATTTATTAACAATGACTAAATATGCTTTACAGAAGGTTTCTAATGAGGATATAAAAATTATAGGAGAGGGGAAGTAAAAATTACTTACTTTACTGGACCAGCAAATCTCTTAAACGGATATTGGTCCCTTCTTAATGACAGTCTGTTCCTTAAAGCTTCAAGTGACCTTCCCTCGAAAGAAATAGCTTCTAGATCGAATCCCTTCAATGAATATTTCTCTATGAAATCATTGCATTTCTTTATGGTGTTTGGTTTGAGCTGAATATTGATTTTATGAAATTGATGCCTTGGATGCAAGATCATCTCGTCCATGAAAAGGTTGATGCCCTGGAAGTCAGAAGGAGTGAGCAAGTCTACTTTCAAACTAAAGTATAAGTGGTTGTTCGCTATTAATAATTTCTCCGCTAAGCCTTTACTGAATGACCTCTGGATGTCCTTTACCAGAGTACATTGCTTGTAGTTCATGATAACATCCAAGATGGCCTTCAAGTTGGAGTTCCAAACAGTTCTGCTTTTGCGATCAAGTTGTAGAAAGAGTTCAGCGCACTCATTAACAAAGCCATAATAGGGAATGATGACACTTAGAAGATTAAGATTATGAGGAATAGGAATTACTTTAGCTCTTAAAGGTTCCATTTACTAATATTATTATTATAAATCATATTTATTTCCCATAATAATCTCCCTAATTGGGGTTTTGGGGTTTTGGGGTTTTGGGGTTTTGGGG